GGCCCGACCTCGATCTCGATGCCGTGCCGCGCGACGCTGGCGAGGTGCGCCGCCTCGCACTGGCTGCACTCCTCAACCATCACGCGCAGCGGCAGCGGCGGCGATGCCTCGTCGGCGTCGTCCCAGTGCGTGTGCACAAACGCAGCGGCTCGAAGCGCGAGGGTGCTGTACGAGCTCACAATAACGGTGCAGCCCATGTTGGCGGTGGTGGTGTGCATGTCGATGCACACAGCCGCGTCGGCGGCGGCGCCCTTTGGCCCCATGTCTGCTGCGATTGCCTTGGCGCGCCCGGCCTCAAAGCTGGATGCCGTCGTGTCGGCAAGGGTCGCCGCGCTAAACTGGCGATTGAGATCGTCGTCGATAAAGCGGCGATTGGCAGCGTGAGCCGGTGGGTTTGCGAAGAGTGTTTCGATGGCGATAGAAGGGTGCTGCTCTGCGAGCTCCGCCGAGCGCAACTGCAGGCGTTGGAGGACCCATACGCCGGTGTACTCGTTTCCGTGAGTGCCACCCGAGACAACCACGCGTGGACGCGGCGAGAGGGAATCGGCGGTGCTGAGAAGACACGAGAGGGTGCTGAGCCTCATACGAAAGGGCGCTCAAGACGCAGCGAGCGCAGAGCGCGTTTACACAACAAAAGAATTCTAGCCATACGAGCCCCTCTCACAGCAGACTGATTTTTGTGCTTTGAACGGCGCTTCACTTGAATGGCGCTCGCTTCGGCCGGCCTGCCGCCGCCGGTGCTCAACGCTGCCGCTGCCGAGGGCGCGGCGCGCGGCCGCGACGGCGCGCAAGAGGCCGATGATGGCCAGAGACTCGGCGTGAAGCGCCGCCTCGACGGCGAGCTCGCGAGCGCGCGCGTCAACGACGACGACGCCAAAGAAGGCGACACCATTATGGTGGACGCTGCACAGATGGCCGCTGCGGCGGCCGCCGGCACCGACCGCGGCACGAAGCGCCTGCTGCACGTCGCGCTCGCGGCGCGCGACGGCTCGCACATCCCGGACATCCAGAACAAGACGGCGCTCGTCACCGAGGTGCGCCAATTGATCAAGAAGACACCAGGCGGCGAGGCGCAGCAGGCAAGCGCGATCAGCGTGCCCATCATCGGCACGTCGCGCGCCATCTGCGTCGCCTTCAGCGGCGAGAGCGAGGCACGCGCCTTCCTCGAGCAGTACACCGGCGGTGGCGTCCTACAGCTCCCAGCGCCAGACAACATCACCATCACCTTCGCCGCTCTCGACGCCACCGTGTGGGGCAAGCAGGCGGAGGCGCGCGAGACCCAGGCGACCACGGACTCAGACGGCCTCCTCGCCATACGCACGCGCGGCGCCATCGACACCGCGGCCCAGATCGAGCACTTCGCCCCCCTCTTGGAGAAGCACTTCGGCAACATGGTCTCCATCCAGGAGGGATACCACTCCTTCCTGGGCACGAAGTCGGACGAGAAGGACGGCTCGATCCTCTTCAAGGTGAAGAACGAGAACCTCGTCTGCAACCTCCCGGTCCTGCCCAACGTCTACGCGAGCGGCGATGTCGGCGGACCCCTCCGCCTCGAGGTCGGGTGCGTCAAGGTCCTCGGCAACAAACTCTGCCCCTCCTGCCGCGCATTTGGGTTGACCAACGCCGACATCATCCACGACGCGCAGTGCGCCGCGCAGGCGCTCAAGGAGAGGCGCGCCGCAGCGGCGAACGTCGCCAAGAAGAAGACCTTCGAGAGCCTCATCGTCGACAACAAGGTCGAGGTCGCGCGCGCGGCGGGCAAGGCCAAGGCGATGGCGGCGCGCGACGGGATCGGCTTCTGCCCGGCCTTCAACCAGACCGCCCTCCCGTGCAAGACCGCCGCTCGCTGCCGCTACGCGCCGTGCGTCAACTTCGAGGCGCTCCTCCACTCCGCCTTCAAGGACACTATCTACGAGCGCATGCCGAGCGCGGTCAGGCTGGGCACAAGCCGCGGGCGGCGCGGGCGCGGCGGCCGCGGCCGCGGCGGCGGCGGCGGCGAGGTCAAGAGCAACAAGAAGGACTGGGCGAGCGTCGCCCGCGGAGCCGCCCGCTCCCCCTACGACGGCGGCCCACTCCTCGAGTCCAACGAGCCCTCGCTATACGGGGGGAGCGACGAGGAGCTCTAGGAACGGCCGCCGAGCCCTTCCCGCAGCGCAACCCTAGCAGCGCAGCGGGCAGGGCGGCTCGCGCAGCGCGCGCGCGCGATCGCGCAAGCGGCGCGCGAGAGCGAGCGAGCGAGCACACACACACACACACACACACACACACACACACACACACACATGTTGTACACATGCACAGACACACAGCCCCTTCCCCTTCAAGGGCGAGGACACGCGCAGGGGTCGCACTTCTAGCGAGGCCCACAGAGTGGGAGACTCCTATCACCGCCACTGCCACCCACGTGTCAGTCTGCCTGTGGTAGAAGAGACTGCCGGTGAGAAGTCGGAGGAAGGTCGCTAGTCGAGAGAGATCGCCAGTGGATAGGGAGTCCACCGTGCTGCGAGCCTGTCGCTGTCCCTTGTCAGGAGCAGGAGAACTAGGAGAGCGCAACCAGTAGGAGGCCCGCGCTTGCCCCCGTGCCGCCGGGTGCAACCTGTCCTATACGAGAGAGGAATCCCTGGGACCCTGTCGTGAGGGTGAACCCTGCCCAGCCCCCCTCCGTGTCGCGATGCGCTCCCCGCTCCCGTTCCCCTGTGTCCCTGATCGTCCTTACAAGATCCTGCTCGTGCAGGTGGGGACCCTGTCCTTCTCCCACCCCTCGTTTGGCGTGTACGTTGTATTTATTTATTTATTAGCAGACTGCAAAAGAAAAGAGCCAGCTGGGTACAACAAGAATTTTACAAAGAACACAACGCTTTCTCTTGCTTAAAAATAAAAGAACGCAAAAATAAAATATTCTTACCTTCAAGCCCCCCTCCGAGAAGAACCACACCAGTATAGACCAGAGGGACTGCGCCTCGCCCCCACTTGCCCTGACTGCACAGGATAGCGTGCCCCGATAACGGCGACACATAGTGGGGGACACTGCGCAAGGAGATGGTGCGAAGCCAAGGTTGGGGTTCTAGGTGGTGGGACCAATGAGGGGGGGAGGGGGGGGTCCTGTGGGGGTGAAATGTTGCGCGGCGAATTCGAACCTACCCCCTCGCCGCGCCGATCCTCACGCGGAGGGTAAAAAACCCTGTGGGAGAACCCCCCCCCGCGGTCGGCAGTCTTCAGAGTGGACCCCCCCCTCCCCAGCCTCCCCTGATCGTTTGTCGCACCCCCCCCCGCTCCCCATTGGCGACTCGCGCTCTTGGCGGACGCTCGGGGTGGGTGGGTGGGGGGGGCCCCCAGAGGGGGCTTTGGGGTCCTGTTGGGTCGATCTCGGGGGGATCTCGGGGGGATCTCGGGTCAGCCGCGGTCGTAGCCTAGGTGAGGCGGATGATTCTCTCGCATTACAAGGGACACTCTGACATGTCATGTCGGGGAGGACAAGAGAGATCCACCGAGCAATCGAGAGAAAAAAACCGCGTGGCCGAAAGGGGAAGTGTTAGGAGGCGGCGTGCCGTCCTCCCATCCCTCCCTTGCGTTGTCTGTTTTCTTTCTTTCTTTTTATTAAAATGAACTCGGGGGCACGGGACGCGGCACAAACGGGGCACTCTCTTTCTTTCGTAAGGGGAAGGGGACACCCCTCGAGCCTCGTTGGTCCCTTTTCTTATTTAGCCCACACCATGCCGATGACACAGAGGACAACAACAGGATATAGAGTTTAGAGAGAGGCAAGACCCCGAGTGTGGCGTTGACCCTGAGCCCTGGCTGTCGGGCTGTCAGGTGCTGTCAGGTGATCTGTCGGGCTGTCGGGCACTGTCAGGCACGACTGTCAGGTGCCTCTGTCAGAGACCAGCTGTCAGGTGCTGTCCAGTGCTGTCGGGTGCTGTCAGGTGCTTGTCTGACAGGCGAGGTGCTCTGGTGCTGTCAGGTGCTGTCGGAGCTGTCAGGTGGTGCTGTCAGACGCTGTCGGAGCTGTCAGAGCTGTCAGGCTGCTGCTGCTGTCAGACGTAGGGCCGGTACTGTCAGGTGCTGTCAGGTGGTGCTGTTTTGGGGTGCTGTCAGGCTCTGACACTCACCAGCCACACTTATGACACTTCACTATCAAGAGGAGACCGCAGCCAGAGAGGAGAGAGT